TGACACATCATGATACTTCTCATCTGATGTCTGAACCAAAGAAGTTCAGCCATGCTTGTGCATGCGCATGGGCAGTGAACTTCAAAGCTTTCTGAGGTTCACTCATAATGAACAATCATTCCTGGAAAACTGTGACTCCTTTAACTTGTTCCAGCTTTTAGTACCGGTTTGTTTTTCATGAGTCAAGACACTGAAGATGAAATATCACCCAAAAGGAATTTAGTCTCTCTTCCTCAGAGGTAGTTTGAAATTTCAGAGGATAGATTTTTTTAATTGACAAAGAAAGATAAGACGTGTTGTATTTTGATACCAACACAGAAACCAATTAGAGTATATGAATAAAAACAGATTTTTTAAGAAAGGGTAACTGTTACAGAAATTCACTGGAAGACACAAAAGCAGATCATGAACTATGTAACTGTTTATACATGCAAAGGACACTTACAAACATAACAGTCACTATTAACAAGTCAGTATTTGCCATGAGTTACAACATAACAGTGCCCAAAATACCACAGTTTCCCCCCATACTTGTTTCCTGTCTACACTATGGAAATCTACCCCAGTGTAGCTATACTGTTGTAACAGTTTATTTTGGCATGTGACCTAATTAAGTCAAATGCCTGCATTATAGGTTTGTACCAATGTGTTCATGTTGACAAGGCCAGTTTGAAAGAGACATTTTAGATAGCATCATATGATAATTGTTGGCAAGTGCTGACTTTTTAATGGTAACCACTTTAGAAATCAGGCAGCAACCCATCAACTGCAGGTACCATAGAGAGAATAAATTGCTATCTGTCCCTGATGCTCATTCTCAGGAGATATGCTGTATCATGTCATTCAACTTGCTGATCTCTTCAGACAGGCTACTTCAGTGATGAAATTTTAGTGCCAGAAATACTGATTCACTGGTAAGGAAACATGATTTCTCTGCATTGATATTTCAGTATGCTGAACACATAGGGGTACGGGTAGACACAAGTTGCCGGCATTTTCTAATTAATTAACCCACCCATCTCCTCTTTCAGCTACATCTGTATACATCAGTACTGACATTAAATAGTCTGTTAACTTCATCAGAAGTATTTCCTTCCCCTGAATTTCCCAAGGGCTGTATCAATACTTGCTTCCCCTAAATAACAATGGCAGTCTGATGTAAAGTAGGTATCAACTGACTAACCTGTTCAGCATATCTTCAGTGCAGATAACAGTCAAAATGCTTATTTAAAAGGTCAGAGATCCTTCCAACTGACAAGGCACCCAGTCCAGGTGCCATCCCAAAGTGTTAATGGAAGTGGTGACAGAAATTGAAAAACCTGTAGGAGACATTTTGACAAGCTCAGCTGAGCAGAGATCCCTGAAGGCAGGGAAATGACTGAAACAACACATTATTTTAAAAAGAGACACAGGGAAACACACACACAGAGCCAAACACTTATAGATCAGAACTCAGGAGTATCTCGAGCTTTATTTTCAAAGTTCAAACCAAAAGAACACTTTAAAAAGCAAAGCTTGTTCAATTAGCTAAGCTGGTTTCAAGAAAACACAAATCTCTTTTTTTGCCTCCCCACTATTCCCTTTCAAAGTACATCTCTGCTTTCTCAGTAGAGGGGCACTGGGCTTGGGATAAGACTATGTGAAAAGGAGCAGAAATAAAGCAAACATCCTCACTCAGAATATTGACAGTTCAAGCTGTCAGAGGCTGGGGGTCCTTTGCCTATATACTGTTCTATACAGAAAGTCCTGCAAATACTCAGCTGGAGAAAATTCCCTGACTTAAAATCAATACTAAACTAAAACTTTTCATCCTGCCAATAACTGTCGCTTGCATGCAAAGCTACTGCATTTTCTTCTGCCATGAGAAAAACTAAGCAGAATTGTCCTTGCATCAGCAAGAAAACAAAGAACTCATATGTCTGCTCTAGTACGGGTTAAGGTGGTGGCCATATGTCTTGTGACTGAATCTTGAGAGCTGTGGTAATTCATTCGGAGCAGTAACATTAATGCCTTAGTGAGCTGCAAATCCCTAGATCTTGGCTCACTGCATATATTACGTATACTGTACTCATTATGTTGTATATGCACTGTGACGGGTTGGATCACAGAAACCCCCTTGGGAGCTGCCCAAGACTACCCCTGTTCCTGTTTTCCCTGCCAGCTCAGGACTCCAGCACCCTGTCTTGCTGAGCCAGACACTTCA